CAGAGCTAGAGATTTGCCATCCACATCACTTCTTCATTGGCTGGACTAACTAGTTCTTACACACCTTCCGGTTTTGATTCTCTGATTCCAAATAACCTTGGCGACTGTGGTGTCACTGTATATTAATATTAATGAATTAAGCCAAACTGCATCCTGCTTGTTATTAAAAACTCACTGGAAAGGACCAGAGCATTATTGATCCATCATTATTTCATACAGTGCTTAATACAAATCTTCTCTACTTTTATAAAATAGGTATTAATGTTTGTAAGAATGTTGTATAGGAAAACCTATTGGAGGGGGGGACTTAACAGGATAGAGAGCCTTCTAGATTCCTAGATCCAAAAATATAAGCAGTTGCTATTTTTAATCATGCAACATGATCCAAGGCTTAAGCACATGTGTTACCTGACCTTGATTAAAGTAACTGGAAAATATTTCTCTTTATGGGCCTGGGACATCTGGTGGAAGACTGTCAGCAATAAAATGGAGGTGTTTCCTATGTTTTTTTAAATCAGTGCCAGCACTAATAACAGCAAACTTAAGTGCAGAAGGATTTTTATCACATTTACCCAAGAGCCAGTACACCATGGTCATTCACAGTGAAGGCTGGGAGTGTGTTTTAAAACCAGGTCAGAGAGGATTATGGCTTCTGGGTAGCACCCACACAGCCCCTCCTGCTAGGCTCAGCTGCCAAGATCTGCTCCCCAACCCTCTGATCCAGCTGCTGCCCCAGTCTGCAAAGGATTACTGGCAGTATCACAGCTGGGAGTCTCCAGACAAAAATAGCTTTTAAATTAGGACTTTTCTTTCTTTCTTTCTTCCTTCCTTTCTTCCTTTTGTCGATCCTAGGGCTTGAACTCTGGGCCTGAACACCATCCCTGAGCCTCTTTATGTTCAAAGCTAGCACTCTACCACTTGAGCTACAGATCTACCTCCAGCATTGTGCTGGTTAACAAGAGATAAAATTCTGAAGGAGGCTGGGCACTGGTGGCTCCTGCCTGTAATCCTAGCTACTCAGGAGGCTGAGATCTGAGGATCGCCAGTCAGGGCAGGAAAGGCTATGAGACTCTTCATGAACCACCAGAAAACTGTAAGTGGTGCTATGTGGCTCAAGTGGTAGAGCCCTCACCTTGAGCAAAATTGCTCAGAGACAGCACCCAGGCCCCAAGTTCAAGCCCAGGACAGACAAAAAATAAAATAAAATTCTGAAGGACTTTCCTACCCAACCTTCCAACCACAGTCCTCAAATCTCAGCCTTCTGAGTAGCTAGGATTATAGGCTTGAATCACTGGCACTTGGCTATCATTTGATTTTTTTTTTTTAAGTAGACGAGCTGGGCATGATGGCTCACACCTGTAATCTTAATTATTCAGGAAGCTGAGATTAGAAGGACCTGGGTTCAAGCCAGCTAGGGCAAAAAGTATACAGACCTGCCGGGCACCGGTGGCTCACGCCTGTAATCCTAGCTACTCAGGAGGCTGAGATCTGAGAATCGCGGTTCAAAGCCAGCCCGGGCAGGAAAGACCGTGAGACTATCTTCAATAAACCACTAGAAAACCGGAAGTGGCGCTGTAGCTCAAGTGGTAGAGCGCTCGCCTTGAGCTGAAGAGCTGAGGGACAGCGCCCAAGCCCAGAGTTCAAGCCCCATGACCGACCAAAAAAAAAAAAAAGAAGTATATAGACCTTTTCTAGACTAATAAAAAGCTGGGCAAAGTAGTAAGTAAGCAACTATCATTCCAGTCACATGGGAAGTATAAAAAGGAGGATCGTGATCCAGCATGAGCCTGTTCAGAGTCCTAGAAAGTACCAGCCAGAGTATGTAACTTATAACCGCAAAGAGCCCTTAGCTTGTATGGATTAATGACCACCACAACCACCTCTTCTTCCTCTTCCTCCTCCTCCTTCTTCTTCTGCTACTCTTGGGGCTTGAAGTTAGGGCCTGGGTTTCTTTTGCTCAAGGCTAGCACTCTACCATTTGAGCCACAACGCCACTTCCAGATTTTTCTGTGTATGTGGCACTGAGGAATCGAACCCAATGCTTTCTGCATGCTAAGCAAGGACTCTACCACTAAGCCACATTCCCAGCCCTGTGCTGCTCTTCTTTAACTCAGTGTAGTTTTTGCTTTGTCTTGGTCTAAGCCCTTAGTTATATGCCTGGAGGTAGTGTATTGCTTTGACTTTAGTTTTTTAATGCTATTTTTTTTTTTTTTTGTCGGTCGTGGGGCTTGAACTCTGGGCCTGGGCGCTGTCCCTCAGCTCTTCAGCTCAAGGCGAGCGCTCTACCACTTGAGCTACAGCGCCACTTCCGGTTTTCTGGTAGTTTATTGGAGATAGGAGTCTCACGGTCTCTCCTGCCTGGGCTGGCTTTGAACCATGATCCTCAGATCTCAGCCTCCTGAGTAGCTAGGATTACAGGCGTGAGCCACCAGAGCCCGGCAATGCTATTTTTATTATGTCCATATACTCTGCTTATTCAGGCACCCTGACTAGTTGGAGAAAAATAGGCTTTTTTTCCCCCAGCTGTTTTTTTAAATATTTTGTTGGTCATGGGGCTTGAACTCTGGGCCTGAGCACTGTCCCTCAGCTCTTCAGCTCAAGGCTAGAGCTCTACCACTTGAGCAACAGTGCCACTTCCAGTTTTCTAGTGGTTTATTGGAGATAAGAGTTTCATGGACTTTCCTGCCTGGGCTGGCTTTGAACTGCGATCCTCAGATCTCAGCCTCCTGAGTAGCTAGGGTTAGAGGCGTGACCCACCGGCGCCTGGCTCCCCAGCTAGTTTTGAGCAGTTATCTTTTGGATCTCAGTCTCACAAGTAGCTAGGATTACAAACCCATTTTTTTTCCTTTCTTTCTTTTTTCTTTTCCTTTTTTTGAGACGGGGTCTCTCTATGTAACCCAGGTTGGTCTTGAACATATAATCCTCCTTCCTCAGCCTCTCAAGTGTTGTATTCATAGACATGGGACTACCATATCCTGCTAGCACTTAATTCTTCATGTTGAAAACTTTCAAAATTCTGGTCTGGGAATGTGGCTTAGTGGTAGAGTGCTTGCCTAGCATGCAGGAAGCCCTGGGTTCCATTCCTCAGTACCACATACACAGAAAAAGCCAGAAGTGGTATGGCTGTGGCTCAAGTGCTAGCTTTGAGCAAAAGAAGCCCAGGCCCTGAGTTCAAGCCCCAGGACTGGCAAAGAAGAAGGCGAAGAAGAGGAGGAGGAGGAGGAGGAGGAAAAACAAAAAGCTTTCACAATTCTTTCTTCTAGGATTTTGAAATGTACAGAATAATTATTGTTCTCTTCAGTCATTCCATTGTGCTGTAGCACCCCAAAACTTTTCCTAACTGTAACTCATTCCCATCCATCAGCATTTCCCCAGACTACAGCCCAGTCCTTGCTTTCATTTACTCATTTGATCAGTTTTCTTTTTGTGAGCTGGGGTTGCCCCTAGGGATTCTCTGATTCAGGGTCCTCCTTCCTCAGCCTCCTGAGTGTGGACACCGCAGGCGCGAGCTTCCATGGCTGCCAGCTCTTTATTATTGTTAGGAATTTCACTCCTATTTTAAGCAATTTTATTGCTTGTATGTGATTTCAAATCCTTCTATGGGTAGCCAACATACACATTCTAAATAAAAATGAGAAAATATCCATAAATGTGGACTGGTTGAGAGGTTGGTGTCGTCACTTTCCAGATTTGTTAGTGTAGTCCATTAATTCCGTTGTTTTAGTGTGTGTATAAGTCGGGTCTTTTATACCTAATAATACCCTATTGAAATCCGACCTTACTTTCAATTTCTGCTGGTAAATCCAAAAGTACGTGAAGCTCTTATAAAGTGGTGGTGGTTGGCAGAGAGAGGCACCCTCATTACAAGTGTCATCGTGATATTTTACTGAGTACTGAATTGAGCTGCTCTGATTTAAAAAAAAAACAAACAAACTGCTTCTAGGACTGTTGTGTTCTTCGTTTCTGAATTCTAGTCGCCCCTCCCGCAGGGCCCTGGCCGAGGGGCGAGGGGTCCGTTTCCATTCAGGGCAAAACAAAGCGTTTTGTTCCCATTCTCTCTGGCGCACGCGGCCCTTCCCAGGAGGCGAGCTCAGTGCCCACCGAGTCATGCTTTTCCATTACTCATTCCACCTCTTTTTCCCAAGGTGGCGTGTGGGAGGTGTTGTGCTGGGGCTCGGTAAGAACAGGCCAGGGAGCCTTTTGCGGGATACACGCATCCTTTTGCATGGTTCGGCTCCGAATGCACGGCATTCAGCGGGTTCACTGCGTGTGTTGTTTTCCAAAGGGACAATGACTCCGCACTCGGCCGCTCCCACTTCAATTTCAGCCCCTCTGCAGGCAACTAGACCACCTCGCCCTCCCCCGGCCAATCTTTTATCCCCTTGCAAAACGATCATCCAGTTGTGGAGGTAAGAATCGTGCCCACGAACGCCCTTTGGGGGTCACCCAGGATGCCAGTCTGGGGCACCAGGCGGTTTCGCCCACCCCGACACCCGCAACCCGTTTTAGATCCCGGAACACCAGGGGGCGCTCGGGTGTCTCCGCAGCTCCGGGCAGTATCTCCCTCCCACTCCCCAGATATTTCTACGATTGGCTGGCTGTACTGATATCTGCGTTCTGATTGGTCACTTTCTACGTCGGTTACATTCGCCGGGCGGACCCAGGTGACGCGCGGCGCCCCGGCTCGGGGCGGTGCCCGGCGGCGGCGGCGACTGCGGGCGGAGTTTCGGGAGCAGCGACGCGGGGCAGTCAGACAGCGGCGATCCAGGGGGGGCGATTGCACCCGTCCGAGCCGCTCCCCATCTGCCGCAGCCGCTTACCGCCGGCCGCTCGCCGCGCAGGGTCCCCCTCCCGCCGCCCGCCCCGCGTCAGCCCTCCAGCCGTCGCCGCCCTTCATGCCGAGCGGGGCCGCTGCGTGATGGGGCTGCCGGGCGGCGTCCTGCGGCTCGCGGCGGCCGCTGCTCGCGCTGAGCTGCGTCGGTGCCCGGCCTCCCGCGCCCCCGCGCGCCGCGGCGCCTGCTGACCCGGCCTTCCCGCCCCGTCGCTCCGCAGCGCGGCTGAGGTAAGGCGGTTGGCGTCGAGGCTTGCGGGGTTCGGAGGCTGGGGGTGGATGAGCCGCGCCTGAGGGAGGGGGGCCGGGCCGGGGTGTGCGGGGAGCCCGGTGGTCGGCCGTGGGGGCCTCGCCCTGGCGGGGGAGGGGAGGGCTCCCGGCCAGCTGCGAGCCCCGGGCCGGCGTCCAGCGGCCTGCCGGGCCCCCTGCGCGTTCCCCCCCCGCAGTGCCCCGCACCGTGGCCCCGCGCTGCCAGGCCGGGCGGGCGCGGCCCCGGCAGTCAGCCGACGCCCCGCGGTCCGGGGCCGTGCCCGCGGCTCCCGGCCACCGTGCAGCCCCGCTCCAAGCCTCCCTTTCCTGTCCCCCCTTTGCTCGATCTCTTCCCCCATTGTGGTTGGCATCGGCGGGGGGGGGGGGCGTTCGACTGGGAATGTGGCCCCCGGACCCCCGTGCCAGGTGGAGGAAGGCCTGGGCGGCGCGGGGCCCGAGGGGAGGGGGGCGGTGGCGGGGCGGGGGGGGGGGGGCGTCGAGGGCGCCGGGGCTGCGAAGAGGCCGCGAGGGAACGGGAGAGGGGGGCTCGCTGGATGCCCGCCAGCCGGGAAGGAGGCGACCGGGATTACTCTGGCAGCCATATTGGGAGGATGATCTGACAGATCGTTTCGGAGCCCAGCCCGGTTGCTGGAAGGCACGGAGTGACAGCCCTGGCCGCGTTCGGGGTGAGCGGCCGCGCCGGGCGGTGGGGGCTGGGAGGCCGGAGCGAGCGAGCCCGTCATTGTTCGCGCGGCGCAGCGCCTTCCCGGCTGGAAAAGCAAAACGGAGCTGCCAGAGCACTGCGTCTCTTTTTTCCTTTTTTCCTCTTCCGTGAATTGCTTATAGGAGCGTTCCCCAAGGTAAATCTGTGTTTCCAGATTCCATTCTTGGCATGCATTTCTCCTGTGCCTGCGCTCGTCATCCGAGTCCGGCGCTGCGGGGCCGCACCAGGCCTGTTGATGGGCAGGTCTGGAGACCGCCCAGGCCCCTTGACCGCTCTGCGGGCTCCCAGTCGGTGTAAGGCCCCGGGGTGTGTATTATACCTTGACAAAGTAGCTCAGCACGCAGAGATGAAGTCGACGGGATATTCTCATCATGGGGAGGCCTGCAGAGCCGTTCTGAGGACGCAGGTTGTCATCTTTGTGGAATCTCGAGGCAGCCCAAATTAGATTGGCTACCGATCCCTTGCTCCAATATCTCTTCCTGCTCTAGGCAGCTGTTCTGCCAGCGCTGAACATGCGGCTTTTTGTCATATGTCTGTCTGAACCCAAAGAAAATGCAGCGATTGGGGTTGAATAATGATTAAAAAAAAAAAAAGTGATAGCATGGTGGATATTTAAAGACTGGCATTTTGTACACATGGCTTAGTCATAATCAAGTTATAGCTCCTGCTCTTACGTGGTGTTTGCTAATTTCGTTGGTATTGTTGGATTCTGAAATACGTGGTTATGGCAGTTTCATTGGAGTATGGAACATGAAGGTTGCATGTAAAACAGACCCAGAAAGGTCCAATAACTGGGTTCATTGTGAGCCTGTACATGGGTTTTCTTCTATCCTAGAGTATGTGTCCTTTTCATTTAAACTCCATTGATTAATTCAATAATTCCTCTTCCTCGATTCTTTTTTCTGCCCTCCCCTGGGCTTGAAAGTGAACCTAAGATCTTGACCTAGATCAATGTTAGACGAGCATTCTCCCATTGAGCTATATACTCCCAGCCCCCAAACTCCATTTTTGAAATTCTTACAGCTTCTTGAGATGAAATTCACCTTATTTCCTATAGTTTTTAAATTGAGTCTTAAAAAATAATTTTTATGTCATTAAGCATTTCCTTTAAAATAAATGGACTCAACTACAAGTGGTATCTCATTGTAGTTTGAATATGTATTTGATGCATATGATAATAAAAACTCTGATAACTTAAAAAAATTGATTAAAATGTGGCTTTGTCTCAAATGTGGCTCGTCACTGTAATCCTAGCTACTCAGAGGCTGAGATCTGAGGAACACGGTTTGAAGCCAGCTCAGGCATGAAAAGTCCATGGAAGCCTCATAGAAAGTCCATGAGACTCTTATTTCTAATTAACCACCAAAAAGCCAGAAGTGAAGCTGTGGCTCAAGTGATAAGAGTGGCTAGTCTTGAACAAAAAAGCTCAGAGATAGCGCCAGGGTCCTGAGTTCCAACCCAAGGACTGGCACACATACACACATAAAAAGAAACTAGTGATTTTTGCATTACATCAATATGAGAGATACAGAAAGTCTGTAACTCCATGCCCCAAATGTGAAATATTGTTAAGTTTTTAATTTTTAGAATTAGTTTATTTGTATAAAGATCTGAAAAAGTATGGTTAGATATAATTTCAGCATTGGTAAAATCCAACCTGGTTGTGAGTCTGATAGGAGGCATGATTTTCTGAGGCTGCGGAGCTCTGCTCTGATGACTGCTTTTCTAGAATCTATGCAATTAAGAGCAGCTTCTAAGGCTTAAGACAGACTGATTTTTCTTTTTCAAGACCATATATGTTTGTAGTTTTTCTTTTTCCTCTGTTCCTACTCTGAATTTGTGCAGGGACTAAATGGCCAAGAAAAAGTCTGCCAACAGTGTTTCCAAGGCCAAAGCTTTCTAGCTCTTCTTTCTGCCCTGAGTATAAAGAAAAGGACAATAGGCCCTTGCCTTCTTGTTCATCAACTCCTTCCCAGGCTGCTAATCGTAGTAGATCGTTCCCAGGAGTAAGCACATCCCTTTGGTCATCTAATGTGGCATGATATAATTTTACTGGCATATAATTTCACAAGGCTTTGAAGTTAAAGTTTGTCATGCCTACTTCATTTAGTTATCTTTGAAAGAAAGCTTTGTTTCAATATTCATCTGTGAGTTTCTGGATTAAAACAGCATGAGTAAATATAAATACTTCTAGAACATTTATTTTTGTGTATAGATCAGAAGAGAAATTAAATAGATGTGACTGATAGGAAAACCTTGCGAACCTTGAACCTGGGTGAGTTGGCTTTTTGATTAACAGCTCAGTGATTCATTTTTACTCACTTTTACTATAGTCATTACCAGTTAATTGAGAATGGATTTAGGGGTTTAGTTCTTTACCCTCAAAGAACTCCAACTTTACTATTTGCATAGTATAGTGAGACAACTTTCATTTAGTGAAGTTTCATGTTGTTCTGTCTGTGCCATGGCTGTTTCTATGATTTTCACAGTCAGACCTGTTGTTTCTTCTTTGCAATATGTTTGGTATTTATCTGACACTCAGCTCACACTTTGATGAGTGTTTTGTGATTGTTTGTGTAGATGTTTCAAATCTTTCAGGTGTGCCATGCTGTTTGCTACCACTGTCCTCTTTGGCTCTGTCTCTATTTATTCTATCTGTGGTGCTGGGGTTGAGCTCCAGGCCTTGAGGATGTTAGGCAAGTAGTCTGTGTTTGAATCATGCCCTCAGCCCTTGTGTTTGTGTTTTGTTTTTTGATATAGGGTCTTGCTGACTTTCCCAACACTGGCCTCTAACTCAGGATACTCTTGCCTCTCCGTCCTGAGTAGCTAGAACACACATGTGTCCCTGCTGTGGTTCTTTTAAAACTTTGATTCTTGGCTTAGTTTACTTTTCATTCAGTTTTAAATTCTATTATTTTTCTGGTGCTGGGATTAAACCCTGGGCTTTGTACATAGACAAATGTTCTTTTTGTTTGTTTGTTTGTTTTGCTTTGTTTTGTTTTTTGTCGATCCGTGGGGGCTGAACTTGGCCTGGGTGCTCCCTCAGCTCTTCAGCTCAAGGCTAGCACCCTACCACTTGAGCCACAGTGCCACTTCTGGCTTTTTGCTGCTTATGTGCTGCTGAGGAATGAAGCCCAGGGCCTCATGCATGCGAGGCAAGCTCTCTACTACTGAGCCACCTTGCCAGCCCCTAGACAAATGTTCTACCACGGAGCTTTAGCCTTAGTTTCTGCCCATATTTTTGACAAGATTTTGGCAGATGTGAGTGATTCTGTAAAAAAGCATATTTAGGGGGTGGGAATGTGGCTTAGTGGTAGAGTGCTTGCCTAGTATGCATGAAGCCCTGGGTTCCATTCCTTAGCACCACATACACAGAAAAAGCTGGAAGTGGCGCTGTGGCTCAAGTGGTAGAGTGCTAGTAGTCGAGCAAAAACAGCTTAGGAACAGTACCCGGGCCCTGAGTTCAAGCCCCAGGACTGGCCAAACCCCCTCTCCCCCCCCCAAAAAAAAAAACCAACATACTTATATTGAGCACTTTCTATGTGTCAGTCTCTTTGCTAAGTACTTTGATTTATTACCTAATCTGTGGACAACACTCAGTATTGTGATCACATCTTCTAACACTATCACTTTCAAACTTGCCTTCCAATCTTGAACTCTGATAATTTATAGCCTCATTTTAATTGTCTTTTTTTTTGCTGGTCCTAGAGATTGGACTCGGTACCTCATGCTTGTAAGGCGGCTATAGGTGCTCTATCATTTGAGCTGTGCTTCCAGCCCCGTTTTCTTGTGGTTATTTTCACAGTAAGTTCTCCCTTTATGCCTAGATCTGGGCTTTGATCTTCCTATTATGCTTTCATGTCATTGAAGATGACAGGCACATCTCACCAGGTCATTGAGTGAGGCCTGAGCTGGCCTTAAATCGTGATCTTCCATTTCTGCCTCCCAAGAAGCTAGGTGTGTAAGCTTGAGTCACTACACCCAGCTTCACAGCTTTGTTGCGTGTACAAAAGGAACTACAATCTTGACCAGTTGACTGAAGCTTCCTACTGTCCCATGCTTAGCAGAAAAGCTTGCCTGCCACCTCACAGGAAAGAAAGCAGGAACTCCTGGTACTCCCCTTCTTGTACTGACAAGCTTCCCTGTCCTCTTTCCTCCAGTCTGAGAAAGGTTACTGCCTCTGAGGTCAGCTGGGCCCTTGGCCTATGTTCTGTATGGCCCTGGCTCCTTATCTCTAGGGACTTGCTGCACTGGCTTC